CAACAAGATCCCACACACAAACGCGGCAGCAAGCCTCTCCTGTTTATCTACTTCACTCAGACAAGACAAGAATGAACTGGAGAGCAGAGAGATCCGGACTTTCAGAAACCCGACCAAATGCTTTGAAATCTCTCCACAAAGTTTCACTGAACCATCAAATTCCCCAAAAAATATGAGCTGCCTTTGAGAGGGAGAATGAGTCTTTACACAAACAATCTAAGTTTACACATAGCTTAGCATGCTTGCCTTCATTGCTCAGACATATCAGCATGGGAGTTGGGATATCATGTTGAGGTTGTACTGGACATTGGTGAAGCCTCTTGTGGAGTATTGTGTATAAGAAGTTCTGATCACCCCGGTATATGAAGGATATTTCAAATTGGAGATGATTAAGAAAAGATTTATCAGGATGTTGTCGGGAATTGAGAGTTTGAGTTATAAAAATTGGCTGGATATGCTAGGACTTTTTTAACCGGAGGGGAGGAGATTGACAGGTGAACTTCTAGAGATCCCTAAAATCATAAGGGGCATAGATGGATAAAGTGAATAAGAAGGTCTTTTCCTTGGGTTGGGGGAGTTCAAAACTGACATGCATATTTTTAAGGTGAGAGGACAAAGTTTTAGAAGGACAATGAGGGCTAACCTTGTTACACAGAGAGGGGTTTGTGTTTGGAATGACCTACCAGAGGAAGTGTTGGGTACAGGTACAGTTGCAACATTTAAAAATCATTTGGACAAATTCAAAAATAGGAAAAGATTGGAGGTTATGGGCCAAATGCAGGCAAGCGGGACTAGTTTAGTTTGGGAACATGGTCGGCATGAACTAGTGTCCAAGCTGTATGTCTCTATGACTCTCTGATTAAATAGACGAATCCATTCATTTATTGAATTCATTCTCAACAGGACCAGATTGCTGCCTTACTTCCCTCACGCTCTCACACCATGGAGAGTTGCTAGATGTCAGAGAGAAGGGTTGGGGGTCTGGCAGGGTGCTACGTGGAGGGAATATCTTGATGATCTCACAGAGCTGCCTGTGAGATCATGCTGTGCATGGCTTTGTCTGCAGGTTTCCTTTCCACATCAAAAGCCTGCCAAAACTGTGGGCCAAGGAGTGGCAGATGGAATTTCATTTAGATGACTGTGAGGTGCTGGATTTTGGAAAGGCACATCAGGGCAGGACTGCTACTCTTAGTGGTAAGGTACCTGAGGAGTGTTGCAGAGCAAAGAGACCTTGGAGTGCAGGTTCATAGATCCTTGAATGTGTCATCGCAGGTAAACAGGATAGTGCAGAAGGCGTTTGGTCTGCTTGCCTTTATTGCTCAGTGCATCGAGTAGAGGAGTTGGGATGTCTTGTTGCAGCTGTTCAGGATATTGGTTACAACAAGGTGCAGGGCTGGATGAACACAGCAGGCCAAGCAGCATCATAGGAGCAGAGAGGCTGACGTTTCGGGCCTAGA